AAATGATATTATAATCCTCATCGGTTTACGTATAATATATATAAAAAAAAAAAAAAGATATTAGTCTATTAGTGGAGCAAAATACAATCGATCTATGTATTTTATTAAATTCTACTTTTGAGATCAATGAAATAATTAATCGTTTTAACAAGACGAATCACTGTTCATTTAATTATTAAACGAAATCTCTAAATCCTCAATTGGATAAACCGATGATGTTACAACAATTATATATTATAATTAATTCTATGCTTGAATACCAGTGATGATTTACAGTTTACAAAACTTAAATGCTAAAAATAATATCATTTAATTATAATATATCGGTTTCCTTTATAATAAAGAAATACTAATCATAATTATTTAATATGTATATATATATATACCAAAATCCATATGTAACATTTAACTTATCCACAAAACGTATCGTTTTCTTAATTTTGTTAATCATAAGCTTATGCTAAATGATGATCAAAGGACTCTGAGAGGGAAAAATGTGTTAAAATGTAGACCACAAGAGTGAAACTTGATGAATTACATTTTCCAATTTTTACATAATAGGATATTTAAAGTTGGACTTGTCAAATTATTACATTACATGGATATGATTTAAATCAGAGATGAATCGAAACATTGAGATTTTGAGATTCATAAGATTTTATGGGATCTCAAAATTCTCGAAACCTAGGATATTTATTATTATTATTATTATTATTATTATTATTATTATTATTATTATTATTATTTTTAAAAAGTATTTACAACAGTTTCGAAAGTTATTTTTATTTCGTTTCACTGGATCGTGGAAACGTGGAGAGAGAAAAATATTTTCTACTGAGATAGAAAAGTATTCTTGTCTCTTTTATGATATCTTAAGTTTTTATATACGCCTTCAGAGCTTCCATAGAGATTCCGCGACAATTAATCGGGCACTTTTATTTTTATATTATTTTATTATTATATTTTGCTACATATTTAAATTTTAACAAATATTTAGAATTTTTCAAAATCGTTATCAGCTTAAATATAAGTTTTATACAATTATTACCTGGATTTCGAGAATTTCGAATTACAAAAATAGCAAAATATTTCAAAGATTCGAGAAATACGAATCTTTTTAAATTTCGAAGAGTTTCAAGTGATCCATCTCTAATTCATATCATTATACCTTGAAATTTATCAGTTTTTCATTTCTTTTCTTTTTTTTTTTTTTTTTGCATTTTTATCATTAAAGCGCCCTTTTTTTAATTATTAAATCACGTAAAAAAATAGAAAATGGACAAATGGTTATATTATCAAGTTTTCCTCCTGTTGTCTTCAAATATCTCATACAAAAACTGATGAAATATAAAACAAGGCCGCAAAGAAATTTATGATCATGATGTATCAGTGTCTTGTGTGCTTGTTGTGTGTTCGAATTAACAAAAACACGTATCAAAAATATGAAAAACTATACACATTGGCATTTTCGCATATTATTGACAAACATTGTCATAAATTTCTATACTTACACTTAGAGCCCTTCGATCTTGGCCCTGTATTCCTAGAAAGCATTCGCTTAACAACTATTGTGCAATATGGTGGCCATCTGTTATTAAATTGTGCACAAACTAAGAGATATAAGTGGATATATAATATGTAAAATTCAGCATAAATTTTTTTTCCCATAGTGAATAATAAACGAAAATTATAGAAGATACGATGTATGAGACATTTCACGTGAAATTATACATAAACAATTTCTTTCGAACTCGGTGTAATTTGTATAAAGTTTTATTAATCTAAATAGAGCCCTTAATATTTAAAAATATAGCCTCTCGTTATACATTTTAATTACTGCATTAAATTCTCACATTTTAGTGAATAATTATGATAAATATGGAAATCGAACACAATCTCTCAAATATTTTATTTATTAAAAATTACATATATCACGATTTCGATCCTATTCATGAAAATATTCATAATTTTCATGCATTTTTTAATAGGATGAATAAGTTAAAGATATAATAGATTTTTACGTGCTTATCAAAATTAAGAATATATTTCAGTGATGAAATTTTGAATTATATAAGAATTCTTTTATTTGGAAATTCTTTTCTAAAAATCGATGAGGTATATTTTTCAAAGTTATCTTTATTAGGTCCACTGTTTTATAACATTTTCTATACCGTGAAAAAAATAGAAAGATTTTTAAAAGGGGATATATAAAATAAAAAAGAAAAAAAAATAAAAAAAACTAAATATATTCAAAAGTAAAAAAGGCATAAGTATTTCATAGATTTAAAAAAAAATTAACGAAAAGTAATTATTCAGGAATATTTAAGAGATATTATTAAGAAATATTCCTGAAATTGGGAAAAATTAAATAAATAAATTTGTTAGAAAGACAGATTTTGTTTACACTGATTGTATTATTACGTTTTTTATTTTTTTTATTTTTAACGAATGATATTTAACAATCATTCTTTTTTTTTTAGTTATAGTCTTATTTTCAAATAAAATTATAATTAGAAATTGTAATATTAAAAATAATTTTTTTATTTATTATGATTATTAATATAGTTATAATAGAGAATATCTATTATATTATAAATTTTATATAGTGCAAAATAGCAATTTTTGAGCAGAATTAAAAATTGGCAGCACTAATAATAATTGTAAAACTATTAGCTACCAAAAATTAGTAATTAAGTTAATATTATATTACTTAATATTAGATTAGTATTAACGTTAACAATATTTTATCTTAGATTATTACTATATTAATATTAATGAGTTTATAATTGAACATTTAAAAAAAATTATATATTATAATAGACAGAAAAAAGTATAATATTTAAAACATTTAAACATATACGATTTTTGAGAAAGAAAATGTGACACATAATTAAGGGAAAAAATTTTAAGGATACAAATATTACGTTAATAATTCAAAAATATGAATTTTGAATATAATTGAAATTCTTATTGTTAGAACACTTAATACAAAACAATTCAGACACTGATCGATTTTCAATAATTGCTGTAAAAAAAAAAGAAGAAATAACAAGGCAATTCCTTGTTTAAATGAATACATAAAGATCGTCATATCTTTTCGAGATAAATCAAGTGTAATATCAACCAGAATATCAAAAAGCTCTGTTTTGGATTATTAAATTTATATTTAAAACCGTGAACTGCAATGCGTAAAGAAGCTCGCAAGATATCAGTCTATTCGCATCGATATTTAATAATTTTATTAATAACTCCTTATCTTGAGCTAAAATATTTAAACATTGAATCAGCTATTATTAAATATCACGAGTTCGAAATTTATTAATCATACGTAATCGTATCATATCGAACGTGAAATGTCTCGTACTACAGATGGGTTAATTATTCATTTAAAAAAAAAAAAAAAAAAAAAAAAAAAGAGTAAAAAGAAAAATAAAGTCGAGAGAAAATATATATTATTCGTCACGTAATCGTCGATCAAACTTTGTATAATGTAATTTACTCAGTATCAGTATTAGAACTTTATTGTGCTTCTCCGTTTAAAACGAGTACATCCACTTCCGCCCTATATCAGACTTACGATAAAAACGTTCAAAACTCGCTGACGTTGGAGAACTTCGAGTAGACTCGATTTCACGGTTGCTTCGGCAATTAACAAACTTGTTCTATGGACCGACTCACACACGGACAGATTTTTTTCCTTTTTTTTTTTTTTTTTTTTTCATTTTCCACATCGAGATAGTAACATAGAAAACATTGCTCGTGACCCGTGTGATTAATCATCAAGATCGGTTATAGACGAATCAGAATTTTTCGTTCAATCGAGCAATATTTTTCCGTTAGATCATTTTAAAAATTTCTTCTCGTTTCTTCATTGTACAAATATTTTGTAATACTTACACGTTAATATTACATCGTTTATAAAATTTTATACATTTTATACAGAATATTCTAATATCAGAATTCTATCTATCTAATTTTTTTTTTTTTTTTTAATACCGAATTTTTCTCTGATTCCGTTTAAAAATAAAATCATTTGTGGAGACTCGTATCGAATCATTTGATTATTCTATTTAATATACAGAGTGACTCGCCGTTATTCACTGGGCAAAGAGTGACTCCTCGTGAAAATGTAAGCCAAAGAAAAAATATAAATTTTTTTTGAATTTCAATTTTAATAAATACTTCATAAAAATAACCTGTTAATAGTTCATTCTTATTAAAAATTTCTTATCGAATAACATTGATTGCATCGTATATACAATATGATATAGAATAACGATAAATATATTCCGTATAATTACAAAACTGTAATAATCTGTAATCTAATCGACTTGTTAATTCTCTAATTTAATATCATTTCTTGCTAAACTGCACCGAAAAAAAGAAACCATTATCGAGTTATTGGAAAGCTTACGTANNATAAAAATAAAATATTCAAATATCAATGAAAAAGTATTTCTCACGGATCACCANAAAAAAAAAAAGCTCGCATGCAAACAAACGAGAAGAAATTGAAAGACGATCTCACGACGAGTGAAATTGTGTCGAGCCAGGTGAGAAAGAAAGAAGAAGCAACCGTGTTTTATAGTTTCTCGCGAAAAGTAATCCAACAGGAGCGATCTCGTCTACCGACACAGACGATTGAAACGCGAAAAATAGTCTCTTAGAAGTAAAAGGAGTGTATTCTAGCGAATCTCGAAAAAAGGGGATAACTACGATAATCTGTTCGAAACGTGGTTCGAGAAAGGAGGAGAGGGTTGTGGGCCGCCGGTATTACCCTAAAAAAAGGGGGAAGGGAAGGGGAGATCTTTACAACCTTGGGGAGGGCAACAATCAGTGCAGTTTTATGTACAATAATAATCCACCGTGGGTGAATTTGTTCATCGCGGTAGCCACGCTTTGTACAACCTCTGGAAATGGTTATTTCTTTACAAACCCGTGTGCCCACAACCCGCTGATTTTTCAGTATCCCGCACCGGTCTGTCCTTTGTGCTCTCAACCTCTCCTTCTATGGAGCTGCGCGCCACGGTCGGGGATTTTACATTTCTCGATTCGACGAAAGTTCATTCTCGAAACGAAAGAACAAGCTGACCTTCGTTACGCGAAACAATCGTCTATCCTGGGATTGTTTGTCCTGTTAAACATGGTCGCCCCATATTGTCACCGTTTTTGCACGGTCCACAGATGCGAAATAGGTGCCGTGCGGATGCCAAGAAACTGCTGTCACCACAGCTCTGAAAAGTGTAACAGATCAATTAGATTACTCTGTTTCTTGTAGCTTTGTTTTCATTGTTTTCGTTGTATGTATTGTTGTGGCTCTATTTGCATTTTGAAGAATAAATTTTGAAAAAAAAAATGGAAACTGTATTTCGAAATTCATGTAAAAATGAATGAATTTTTAATAAAGTCGAATTCAATTTCGTAGCTAATGGGAAGAGAAATAACGTTTAGAATGTTAATTATAGTCTATATACGTTAACACATATACTCTATACACTATAACTCTATACTACATTATTCTATTACTTAGAGCCACAGTAATTAATTTTTAATACAAACTAATTTATCGTAATTATTTTCGTTATTAATAGTTTCCTTTTTTTTTTTTTTGTAAGTAAATTTTATCTTTAACGTTTTCAAAAATACAATCATAGAATTACAATATAAAAAAGTCAAGTTAAAATAATTACAATTATTAATTCTACACGATTTATTTCTTCATAACAAAACAATTGATAAAATAATATTTAAGTGATATTAAACTTAACTAATAAATTGAATTATATATACACACATTTTCGTACTTTAAACAAGTCGAATCAAATCGCATCACAAGGGTATCGAAACAATGGAGCAGAGTCAATGCAGCGTCGCATAATGCTACGTAATAATATCGTAACAGCC